ACTATGCTACCAGAGCTCCTTTGTCATTGGTGGTGGTGGTGGTTATGTGCTGTGGAGTCGGTTCCAACCCATAGCAACCCTGTACAGGGTTTCTGAGGCTGTACATCTTTACAGGAGCAGAAAGCCTCATCTTTCTCCCATGGAACAGCTGGTAGTTTCGAACTGCTGACCTTGCCATTCGCTGCCCGATTCGTAACCACTACACTACCAGAGCTCCTTAGCAACCCTGTATAGGGCTTCTGAGACTGCGAATCTTTCGGGGAGCACAAAGCCTCATTTTTCTCTAGCCGAGCAACTGCTGACCTTGTGGTTAGCAGCCCAGCTGGTATTCCACTCTGCTGCCCAGGCTTTTTGGGAAAAGAGGTAGACAGAGACAGATAGGAGATAGAGATGGGTGGGACTGTGTAAAGCAGGAGAGACGGGGACAATGGCAAGATGACATTTGAGATCTGGCATGACAGCAACTCAACAGCTCTACACAGTATCTTTGAGGCTGCAAAGGTGGCTTGAGGAAGGGGTGCACCCAGAGGGGCAGGGCCTGGAGGAAAGCTTCACATTTCCTCACCCAGTACTTCCTCACTAAGCGACAGCAGACCTGAGAGAACTTAGACAGGAAGAAAGAAGTACTTGGGGCCTTCAAATGTCTGTTTGTGATACTGTGGGGTCTGGGAGGGAAATGGGGTTTCCGGAGAGGAGTGGTAGAGTCTGAGCATGAGGGACCTGGCTGCAGGCTGAGGTAGGTCTTTGCCTAGCTCTCCGGTCCCATTTGGCTGTCGCTGGCCTTTTCTGGGTTGTCTGTGTTCACTGATCGCTCTGGCCTGCCTCTGGCTCTTCACTCTTTCATTGACACTTGCTCTTTCTCTCCGTCTATTGATTGTGACAACTCATCTCACTTGCTTCCTCTCCTCATTCCTGTGTCTCCCAGATGTCTTCAACTCCAGAGCAGCCCTCTGGACACATGGAGGGTCCCCCTGCATCTGAGTCAGCCTCGTGGCCTCCGCTCCCCTGCGGGCCCTGCGTCCCCATCATGCTGACTCTGGCCTCCCTCGCTGCCTTCTTCCTGCTGACCACAGCTGTGTTGGCTGAACGCCTGTTCCGCCGCTCTCTCCGCGGAGCCCCCAGCAACCGTACCCCCACACTGGTCTGGCGTCCTGGAGGAGAGCTGTGGATTGAGCCCACAGGCACCCCTCGAGAGCGCTCCGAGGACTGGTATGGCTCTGAAGTTCCTCTGCTGATGGACCGGACCGAAGAGCCCCCAGCCCCTGGGGGCACCTTGGAGGCCCGAGCAACAGCCCCACCTGCCCCTTCAGTCCCACAATCCCTTCCCAACTCCTTGGTCTCCCAAACCCCATCCCAGGCTCCAACTGGCAGTACATTCTGGGTGCCCCAGCCCTGGGAGGAAAAATCTCACAACCTAGGCATGGTGAGCTGGGCTGAGCCTGAACCAAGGCCAGGGGCCAGTGTGTACTTGGTGAGTCCTCCTGCACAGAGGCAACGACCAGGCAGCCCTGAACATGAGTGGGGTCTTCAGCCTCGGGTCACCCTGGAGCAGATCTCAGCTTTTTGGAGGCGTGAAGGCCGGGCCAGTGTGGGGTTCTGAATACTCAGAGCCTGGAAGACTAGCCACTGCTCCAGAACCACTGAGGATGGCTGTACCACAGTGGGGGCACCTGAGGCTATCCCAGCTCTTTACTTCTGGACCTCAATTCTCCTAGACTTGATGATGGGCTGACTGGGCCACAACAGAGCCTGGGCGGTATGGGAAGCATCAAAGTACCTCTGCTCAGCTGCCTGGGGTTCAGGGAATTGAGGGCGGGGTGACTCTGGGCCAGAGCCTTCAAGATCACATTCTTGATTAAGGCCTCAAAGTATCAGACAGGCAGGAAATGGCATCAACCCTAGTTCCTTCAGCCTTCCTTCAGTGTGCACCTGAGATGCCACCTATCAGAGTAAAGGAGTTGTGTGAACGAATGCTAAAGAACAGAGTGTGTGTGATAATGGCAAGTCTTGGCGTGTTAGTGGGAGACGGCAGGAGTCTAGCTCCCCAAATTCATACATCTTATCCTTCCTCAGTATTCATCCATGAAAATATGAGGAGACTTCACAAAGTTTATGGAAACATGGGATTAAAAGGTCAACTTTTTGAAGTCCCTCATATATTAAGAGAGGGCATGACCAGGCAAAGGAGTATTTTATTACATAGGAACTGTGCTTTTGCCCTTGAATTACAATGAGGAACTTGGTGAACCAAGCTGGAGGGGCTCTTTTCACCTGGAGTTGGGACCTAGAATGAAAGAAGAGCAGTAGGTCACCTCCACCCAGGCTTGTAAGGCCCACTCCCATCATGGCGAGGAAAGCTGAGCCAAGGGGAACTGAGAACGAGTCAATGCAGGACGAGCACCGTTCCAGAGCAGGTATGACCCTAAATATGGCTTTTGGGTCATCATTCCACCAAACCTGTTGGAGTGGTCCAGAGACAGCTTTGCCCTAGGACAGACTTACATACAATGTGCCTTAAAAATGGAACCCTAAAAGACACTTCACAACAACAACAAAACGCCCTTAGTCCTACTAGCCTTCTGTATCAGCTGACCTTCTCTTTGGGAAAGAAGCCAGAGGATGTGGGGAGTGGAAGGAGTTTCCATTCCCCTGGTCTGATTCTTCAAACTTCAGTCATGGATGTCTGGCTCTTTGCCATATCAAAATGCCACCTGTACTACTGTTATTTACTTTATGGGGTTTTTTTTTCTTTAAAATGACTTGTCATTGGCTTAATAAATATATTTTTAAAGGAATCTTTTACTATCACTTCTGTAAATGGAAAACCAGTATCACTTGCCAGAAGTAGAAGGAAAACGTGAAAACAAACAAAATTCGTAAATTCTAAGTAGACACCGTTTCCTACTGGAGGCATTACACCTGTTCTTTCTTTGATTAAAAAAAAAAAGGGAGGTGGGGATGGACATTAACAAGTGTTAGAAAAGAGTCAGATATTCTAGCACCAAATCAAAACCTGTCCTGAAAATCCTGAGAAGACTGAAAGTGCCTCTGTTATTTAACGCTGGCCAGGAAACCACAACTTTACACATACTTGGGGAAAACGCGATAATGCACTGAGGCCAGCACTCAACTGTCTGTGTTCAGGAAGGCCTGGGAGCACTTGGAGCCTTAATTTCCTGTCTAATTCCTTAGATGCTGAAAGTTGATGGAACAGCCAAAGGAAGGAGCAGTTCCTAGACTGAGGGTCACTAGTGTCTGCAGACCAAGACCCCAGAACAAGAACTCCTCCCACTCATCCAGAAAGTTTCTAAGTACCTGCATAGGGCCAGGCCCTGGGAGAGGAAGGAATCAGAACGAGGCCCTGCCCTTAAGCTCAGTCTCTCTAGGAGCTAAGAGAGGGAGGTAGGAGGTAGGGGTGAGATAAGGCGCAGGTGCACAGCTGATACAAGGTAGAGGCCAAGGTTCTTGTTCCATCTCTGTCATTCATGAACTTGGTAACTATTTCATTTTTCATGCTCACCATCAACTGATAGAGTTCTGGTGTGGTGCTGTGGGTTAATGCGCCGTACTGCAAAGTCAGTGTAAACTGCAAGGTCAGTGGTTCAAGCTCACCAGCTGCTCCTCAGAAACCATCTACAGGGACGCTATGGGTCGAAACTGACTTGACAGCACTTAACAATATCAACTAATTGCACTGGATGTGGGAATCTGTCCACCAGGAGTTAATAGTCTACCAGGTGTTCCGAGTTTAATGCCTACATGCCACAAATTCAAGAAAGGCAGTGCACTATGGAAGGGATAACAGGGTCCAAGGTCAGGGCTCAGTCTGGCTCTATCACCCATTTACTTGGAAATTACAAAAAAGTAGTTTTTTAAATTGTTGGGCCTCGTGTTGTCTACCTGAACAAGAAAACTGAAAAGTTGAACAAGATGTTCCATTAGGACTCTTCCGGTTGTGGCATTTGAGAATGCTATAAAATAAAAGATGGATGGATGGATGAATGGGAGGATAGATATTTGAATGGGAGAATGGGTCGGTGGATGTATGAATGAACAGATAAAAGGATGGATAAATGAATGGATGCATGAATAGATGTGATTTTCTTGAGACAGAGTTCAACTTGCTAATCACCAGAATCATCTTTAGATTCCCAAACTCAGAATGGCCTAAAACATAATAGGAGCCCAAAGAGAGAGAATGAATGAGGAAGTGAATGGATAAACAGGTTTATTCATTTTACCCATTCTTCCATGTTTCTAGTCTTTCATCATTTTTAACACCATTTTATTACTTTCTTATTTTGATGGCTTCTTTTGTCTTTGTTGGTGTAAAGTGCCTTTGAGTCGGTTCTGTCTCACAGCGACTCTGTACAGGGTTTCTGAGGTTTCTTTGTGGGAGCAGAACGCCTCATCTTTTTCCAGAGGCGTGACTGGCAGGCTCAAAGTGTGGACCTTGTGGTTCATAGTTAGGAGCCACCGTGCTCCTTTATGTCTTTGTTGTTGTTGTTAAGTGCCATTGCGTTGGTTCTGACCCATTGCGACCCTATATACAGTTTCTTAAGAGCGGCTGGTGAGTTTAAACAGCCGATCTTGTGGTTCAAACTGACCTTGTGGTCAAGTGTTGATCCTACAGTGCCACACTGATGGTGGTGGTTATGTGCCATGGAGTCAGTTCCGACTCATAGCGATCCTGTACAGGGTTTCCGAGGCTGTAAATCTTTACGGGAGCAGAAAGCCTCCTCTTTCTCCTGTGGAACAGCTGGTAGTTTTGAACTGCTGACCTTGCGGTTCGCAGCCCGATTCGGAACCACTACACTACCAGAGCTCCTTACAGTGCCACACTAGGACTCCATAAATCTCTATGGGAGCAGAAAGCCTCATTTTTCTCTTGTGGAGCAGCTGGTAGATTCGAACTTCTGACCTTGAGGTTAGCAGCCCAGCTCATAATCTACTACACTACCAAGGCTCCATTTTAGGTCTTTGTTGTTATTGTTAAGTACCGTTGAGTCGGTTCTGACTCATAGTGACCCTGTATAGGGTTTCCAAGGAGCAGCTGGTGAAGTTGAACCTCTCTGACTTTGTGGTTCAAACCAACCTTGCACTCCAGTTCATTAACCCACAGCACCACACTAGGATTCCTTTATGTCTTCAGGCATTCAAAATATATTTACTAACTTATTTACTGAATTATTATCAGCACTGAACCACAAACTGCAAGGTCGGCAGTTCAAACCCACCAGCTGCTCCTTGGAAGCCCTAAACAGTGTCTCTGAGTCAGAACTAACTAGAGGACACATAACAACAACAACAATTCTATTATCTGGAGTTGTAGGTTGGGAGCTAATGCTGTTTGCTTGCTTACTCTTATTCATGAAAGCTGAATAAGAGTAAGAACAGTCTTATTGTTTTCTCCTATGTTTTGGAATTTGGGGTTGTGAACTTGGTTTTATCAAGACCTTAGCAGTGGGAATCCATGTGGCCAGGTTTGAGGGTATGTAACTCCTTGGATACTGAAACTTGTATCTAGACAGGTTTTGTGTTTGCCTCTGCCAAGAGTGCTTCAAAGATGCTACCAGTCCTGGACAACTTTATTTGTTAGTTTTATTTGGGCTTCCTAGGTCATGCAGGTGTGGTGCTGTAGGATAAGCACTGAACTGCTAACCACAAGATTCAAACCCACCAGCTGCCTCTTAGAATTCCCTATACAGGTTTGCTATGAGTCAGAACCAACTCCACAGCACTTAATAACAACAATAACAAGGTCATGCAGGTAGCGTAAATTTGAGCCCCCGACCCAAATGAGGGGAAGCCATTAACTATGAATTCTCAGGGTAGAACTTCTTTTGCTACCAGATCTCAGAGTGAGGTGGATAAGGTTCTTTTGTTCTGTCCAGGCTGTTTTGTGGACTTTTTTCCTAGTCCATTCTTTCACTGAGGATATCTGTCACCTTTTAAAGGTCCAAGATTTTTATTAGGGTTGCAGCTTTCAAATCCCTGTCTGCAATCCTTGTTGTTGTTAAGTGCCGTCGAGTCGGTCCTGACTCTTAGCGACCCGTATAGAATTTCCAAGGAGTGGCTGGTGAAGTTGAACTGCCAGTCTTGCGGTTCAAACTGACTTTGTGGTTGAATTCTTATCCTATAGTGCCACACCAGTAAAATCCAAGCCTTTTCATTACCCAGATCTGAAGCCACCTAGTCAGCAGCAAGTCTGGTTTTCAATTTCCTCTTCAGTGTGGCTTTCAGGAATTTCCCTTATTTTCTTGCAAGTTCAGCTGTGTAAAAGGATGTTGGCTTTATTGTACACAGCATTTTTAGGTGTTTCATGTCGTGGGGAGATATGCTTGTCAGGTTACCCTATTCATGATAATCACAAAACACAGACTGGTTATATCCTCGTATGTTGTTTATGGGTGCCGTTGAGTTGGTTCTGATGCATAATGACTCTATATAGGGTTTCCAAGGAGCTGTTGGTGGGTTTAAACTGCTGAAATTACAGTTTAGCAATCCAGTGCTTATCCTAAAGTGCCACATCAAGACTATTCATACAAATAAGTTCAAATCTCTCCCACTTTAAAACATCCAGCCAGCAACAACTTCTCC